GTGCAGATGAGCGGCGCGGCAGTAAAGTACTCACCTAGTTGTACTCACCTAGTTGTGCTTGCGGGGGTTGAGCTCTGGCTCTTTGGTCCCGCCTCTCAACCGTCAATCAACAGGTAATTACCTAAGTGTAATTACCTAAGTGTAGTTACAGGATGAGAGCTATGCTCGTGGTGTCCCGTCTTCCCAGCACTCTTTGTCATATAACGCTTTGAAACTACTGACGGTCTTGGCCTCCACCACCTTCTCACTTAACTTGTTCCAACCGTCTACCACTCTATTTGCGAAGGTGAATTTTCTTATATTTCTTCGGCATCTGTGTTTAGCTAGTTTAAATCTATGGCCTCTTGTTCTTGAAGTTCCAGGTCTCAGGAAGTCTTCCCTGTCGATTTTATCAATTCCTGTTACTATTTTGTACGTAGTGATCATATCACCTCTTTTTCTTCTGTCTTCTAGTTTTGGCATATTTAATGCTTCTAACCTCTCCTCGTAGCTCTTGCCCTTCAGTTCTGGGAGCCACTTAGTAGCATGTCTTTGCACCTTTTCCAGTTTGTTGATGTGCTTCTTAAGATATGGGCACCACACAACAGCTGCATATTCTAGCTTTGGCCTAACAAACGTCATGAACAACTTCTTTAGTATATCGCCATCCATGTATTTAAATGCAATTCTGAAGTTAGAAAGCATTGCATAGGCTCCTTGCACAATATTCTTAATGTGGTCCTCAGGTGATAGTTTTCTATCTAGAACCACTCCTAGATCTCTTTCTTTATCAGAATTCTTTAAAGATTTCTCACATAATATATAAGTTGTGTGGGGTCTATGTTCTCCTATTCCACATTCCATAACATGACATTTATTAACATTAAATTCCATTTGCCAAGTGGTGCTCCATATACTTATTTTGTCCAGGTCTTCTTGAAGGGCATGACAATCATCTAAATTTCTTATCCTTCCTATTATCTTAGCATCATCAGCAAACATGTTCATATAATTCTGTATACCAACTGGTAGATCATTTATGTACACAATAAACATCACTGGTGCAAGAACTGAACCCTGTGGTACTCCACTTGTGACATTTCTCCATTCCGATACATTGCCTCTGATTACTGCCCTCATTTTTCTATCAGTCAGAAAATTTTTCATCCATGATAGAAGCTTACCTGTCACCCCTCCAATATTTTCCAGTTTCCAGAACAACCTCTTATGTGGAACTCTGTCGAAAGCCTTTTTTAGGTCCAGATAGATGCAGTCAACCCAGCCATCTCTTTCCTGTAATATCTCTGTGGCCCGATCATAGAAACTGAGTAAATTCGATACACAGGATCTTCCTGATCGAAAACCATACTGTCTGTCTGATATTATATCATTTCTCTCCAGGTGTTCTACCCATTTAGTTTTGATTAGCTTTTCCAATACTTTCACTATTACACTTGTCAATGATACAGGTCTATAATTGAGGGGGTCTTCCCTGCTGCCACTTTTGTAGATTGGAACTATGTTAGCCTGTTTCCACACGTCTGCTACGATTCCTGTACACAGGGATGCCTGAAAGATCAGGTGAAGTGGAATGCTGAGCTCAGATGCACATTCTCTCAGAACCCATGGTGAAACGCCATCTGGGCCAGCTGCTTTGTTCCTCCCGAGCTCCTTTAGCATATTTTCCACTTCATCTCTAGACACCTCTATCCGCTCTATGTTGTTCTCTGGAATTCTTATTGTGTCTGGTTCTCTGAAGATTTCATTTTGTACAAACACACTTTGGAACTTTTCATTTAATGTTTCACACATTTCCTTTTCATTTTCCGTGAATCTGTTTCCCATTTCCAACCTCTGGATATTATCCTTTACCTGCAATTTGTTGTTTATGAATTTGTAGAATAGGCCCGGTTCTGTTTTACATTTATCTGCTATCCCTTTTTCAAAATTTCTTTCTGCCTCTCTCCTTACTGCTGTATAATTGTTTCTCGCATCTTTGTATCGCTGGTATGTTTGGGGGTTTGGCCTCTTCCTATACTGATTCCATTTTTGTGTCTTTTGGTCTCTTGCCCTCTCACAATTTCTGTCGAACCAATCCTGTTTTTTGGTCCTGCATCTCTGTTTTGGTATGAATGTTTGTGTGCCTTCCTCGTATAGTTTTAAAAATTTGGCATACATTTCATTTACTTCCCTGCCTAGCAACAATTCTGTCCAATTACACTCATTAAAAAATTTCGAAGTTCCCCATAGTTGCCTCTCTTTAAATCGAGTTTATCAACTGTTTCAATGTCCCCATTTTCTTCTAGATGATATCTTAAAGCATATTTAATGTCTAACAGGACGTGATCACTCTTTCCCAAGGGAGGAAGGTACTGGATGTCAAAAATCTCTTCTTCTTTCCTGGTGAATACTAGATCCAGTACTGACGGTATATCTCCTTCCCTCATTCTTGTGGCTTGCTTTATGTGTTGATACAAGAATGTCTCCAGAATGAGGTTCACAAATCTGCATGTCCAAAAGTCCTCCGTTCTTGCTTCATAGGCCTCCCAGTCTATTGCTCTAAAGTTGAAGTCCCCCAGTATCAACAGTCGTGATTTATCTTTATCTGCTTGTACAATAATATCTCTCATGACCATTATGAGGCCCTCTCGTTTGTCATCCAGTTCTTCCTTTGTCCACGTGTTGCTTGCTGGTGGGCTGTAGGTATTTACAATTATCAGGTTATCATCCTGATTCCAGACCTGCAATGCCATTATGTCAATATCTCGAGGGTTTTCAAATATTAACTCTTTTACCTTCAGGTGTTTTTTCACCAGTACAGCCACTCCTCCTCCCTTCCTAGTTTTCCTGTCACGTCTCCAAACTGAGTAGCCTCTTGGGAGGTGTACAGGTTCCTGAGCCTACTGGGCTATATCATATCTACACTTGAAACTGTGTATGGAGTCAGCCTCCACCTGGTTGATACCTGGTTGATACCTGGTTGATGGGGTTCTGGGAGCTCTTCTACTCCCCAAGCCCGGCCCGAGGCCAGGCTCGACTTGTGAGAGTTTGGTCCACCAGGCTGTTGCTTGGAGCGGCCCGCAGGCCCACATACCCACCACAGCCCGGTTGGTCCGGCACTCCTTGGAGGAATAAATCTAGTTTCCTCTTGAAAATGTCCACGGTTGTTCCGGCAATATTTCTTATGCTTGCTGGGAGGACGTTGAACAACCGCGGACCTCTGATGTTTATACAGTGTTCTCTGATTGTACCTATGGCACCTCTGCTCTTCATTGGTTCTATTCTACATTTTCTTCCATGTCGTTCACTCCAGTACGTTGTTATTTTACTGTGTAGATTTGGTACTTGGCCCTCCAGTATCTTCCAGGTGTATATTATTTGATATCTCTCTCGTCTTCTTTCTAGTGAGTACATTTGGAGGGCTTTGAGATGATCCCAATAATTTAGATGCTTTATTGCGTCTATGCGTGCCGTATATGTTCTCTGTATTCCCTCTATTTCAGCAATCTCTCCTGCTCTGAAGGGGGAAGTGAGTACTGAGCAGTACTCAAGACGGGACAACACAAGTGCCTTGAAGAGTACAACCATTGTGATGGGATCCCTGGATTTGAAAGTTCTCGTAATCCATCCTATCATTTTTCTGGCTGTCGCAATATTTGCTTGGTTATGCTCCTTAAACGTTAGGTCGTCAGACATTATTATTCCCAAATCCTTTACATGCTGTTTTCCTACTATGGGTACATTTGATTGTGTTTTGTACTCTGTATTATGTTTAAGGTCCTCATTTTTACCGTACCTGAGTACCTGGAATTTATCACTGTTAAACATCATGTTATTTTCTGATGCCCAGTCGAAAACTTTATTAATATCAGCTTGAAGTTTTTCAATGTCCTCAGCCGAGGTAATTTTCATACTGATTTTTGTGTCGTCTGCAAAGGATGATACGAAGCCGTGACTTGTATTTTTGTCTATATCTGATATGAGAATAAGGAAAAGCAGTGGTGCAAGGACTGTACCCTGAGGTACAGAGCTTTTCACTGCACTTGGACTAGATTTTATATGGTTGACAGTTACTCGCTGAGTCCTGTTTGACAGAAAACTGAGTATCCAGCGTCCTACTTTACCGGTTATTCCCATTGACTTCATTTTGTGTGCTATCACGCCCTGGTCACATTTATCGAAAGCCTTTGCGAAGTCCGTGTATATCACATCAGCATTCTGTTTCCCTTCTAATGCCTCAGTGACCTTGTCGTAGTGCTCAAGTAGCTGTGAGAGGCACGATCTTCCCGCTCGAAATCCATGTTGGCCTGGGTTGTGAAGGTCATTGGTCTCCATGAAATTGGTGACCTGACTCCTAATCACTCTCTCAAATACTTTTATGATGTGCGATGTTAGTGCAACTGGTCTATAATTTTTTGCCATTTTTTTGCCACCACATTGCTTCCTAATGCATGTGTGATGTGAAGTGTGATGCTTACTTGTTTGCTTGCTTCCTTGGGATTGTAGGGAGTTTCTATCTCTCTGTTTTGTTTTTGTTTTATTTTCTTACCATGTGGGGTTTGTTTTGTTTACCTACCTTTCTGGGTGCCTAACACTGGTCGATGGCAGGTAGGGAAAACCCAAACCATAAGGGGGTTTTCCAGGGCCATTGCTCCCTGTAACCTCTCTGAAGGGGCCAGGTTCTGGCACTGGTCCCTGGTAGGTCTGAACTCTATAGCTAATGTCCCAGTCTAATATAACATACATTAGCCCGATAAGCTTCAGGGAGCCTCCGGGGCTCACCCAGAAAATGGCGTTTCATTATATTCAACGCTGGTTTTTTTGCATTAAGCATTACTTAAAATTCTATATCATTTGCTCAATTTCCTTAACAATTCAAATATTTTAGTTTAGTTCTCATTTAGTATTAAGTGTTGCCTTATTAAACTTATAAATAAAGTGATGTACCCTTATGTATTAGGGACGTTATATAATATATAATTTGTGTAAAAATATAAAATTATTATTATTGTTTATTTTAGTGCGCCACCTCAGTTTTGGAAACTAGACTCGTGGGAGGATGACTCTCGACGGAGAAAACGTTTTGTTCCAAATCCCTTAGGTTCCTCACACCCTGAAGCCACACTGAAAGCTGCTATTGAGCATGGAGCTCCAGAAGATGCTATTCTTCAAGTAAGATAAATCTGTACAGATAATGTTGTCATTACTGTGTAATTTTACTCCTTAGACAGCAGCTATAGCAAAATAGGCCATTTTGTGCATGGGCAGCAAAAAAAGTTAAAATATGTCAAGAAATAATTTTTCATTATAGAATTATTCATTTGTAGGCAAAATGTAAAATACAAAAATAAGTGAATATTTGTAATTTCACTGGGTGGAGACAGTGATAGGCCGCATGGTGGCTGTGTCTGGCTCCTGTCAACACCTGATGCTCGGCTTTGCTGATGCTCCCTGTGTTATTCTCAGGTGTTTCACTGATTGTTTATCACTTATTTCTCTTAATTTACAAGAGTGTGTGTGCTGAATAGCTTGATTAATCACATAATTTACATAACACATGATAGTGTTTCAATTGATGATTGGTTTACCTTGTACCTTCATTACAACCAGTATAGAGCAGTGAAAAGGATATGAACTTAATATTCAATGGTATTGGGCTCTGGAGAATGAGATACGGCCTAATTGGCACCATATGGGTGAAGTTATAGATTGAAACAAAGGTGTAAGCAACCAATGTGTCACCCACAGATGACAGCAGTCTCCTAGTACACGTAACGCATGATAATGGTTCAGTTGATGATTGGTTTATCTAGTATACCTCGTTACAATCATTCAGAGTTGTTGAAACCATATGAACATCATTGGTATACATATCGTGGAATTATGGTGGAATTTTATAATGATGATTGCATTTGCCTAGTAATGTAACCATGAAATGATAGCAGCATTTTTTCATGGGTTAAGGTAACCTCCATTACACCCACAGAAAGCTATTATATCATTATTTGCATCATTCAAGTAAAACTCGGACAATAATTGTTTAAATCGTTACATGACGATTTCATGTACACTGCACTACACTGTACTGGAACCGCACTACACTGTGAATCAACATTTGATGGTAATTGCTGTCTAAGGGTTAATTGTAGAAGCATTTTGTGATAGCCTCATCCTAGGCATTGATGGTGGTACAGCTACTTAAGTACAGTAGTTATATCAGACACCAGTAAGAATTTTCTGTTTTCTAATGTTGTTTATGTTATTATATGTAATATTTTCTTAAACACACACACACACACCATACATTTCTGTACCTATTGTAACACTAATATTATTGGTTAATGACACAAGAATTTAATTTCACATTGCTCCAGTCAAATGTAAAGCTAATTACAATTAAAACCCTTGTCCTTGGCAAGAAACACCTTTATAAGCCTTCAGCTCACTGTCAGAAAATTGGAGAGTAATCGACTATTATGTAGGAAAACAATCACCATAATCTGTATTGACATAACCTACTGTAACGTTTGTTGTAATTACCTAAGTGTAGTTACATAATGAGAGCTACGCTCATGGTCTCCCATTCACAGTATTTTTTTTCATATGACGCTTTGAAACTACTGATGGGTTTGACATCCATCACCTACTCACTTAGCTTGTTCCAACCATTTACATTATTTGACTTTCTGTGGGGAACTGCCGTCAGTTCCCTGAAGCTATATTACTGGTCAAGTGCCATACTACTTGAGTGTCATCAGTTGCAGAGTTTTTTGTTGCCTACTACGAACCAGACCCAGAACCTGGCCCCCTCAGGGAGGTGCTGGGAGCAATGGCCTATGAACACATTACATTTAAAGTAATATAAAAGTAAATGACAATGACAAGTAAAGTAAAAATTTACTTGTCACCAACCAGGGAAGGCACCCAGAAAGGATAGGCAAAACAAAACAGACCGCTGTCTGGTTGAAAATTGTGACGTACTTCCTCACTTCCTCAAAAGAGCAAAAGAACTCACTCCAGAAAGCAAACAAACAAGCAAAACTTTGTCCAACTAACCCCTCGCTTGTTAACCCCCTCCCCCCTCATGAGGGGAAGGAGGAACTGGCCTGGGTAAGCCCCCAATCAGTTCTTTGACTGATGCCGTGCCGAATGATTGCAGTTATTCTGGCTCCATGTTCCCGTTTTAAGGGAACAGTGTTATAATGTTAGTCATGGACTCACAGCATGGTGCGCGAGTTTGCAGACGTGTGGCTGGTGCTGTGGAGGGTTTTGGCTTTCTCAGCACGGTGATCCGACTCCATTCGGACTGCTCCTCCATGGATCATTGTCTCAACCGGGAGGGGAGGGAAGGGAGTGTTTCTTTGGTCCATGGCTCTTTGGAGCTGGTTTCTTTGGGTAGCTCTTCTGCTCACTCGGCTGGAATTTTATCAGGGAAGAGTGTTTCTCCTGATCCCATGGTGGCTGGCCCAGCCTTGGTTTCAGGCACTGCTTGCTCAATGTTTTTCTGGGGCTCGGCCTTTTTCAGTGGGTTCGGGCGGATTAGGTACCTCGCTGTTTTGACCTTCTCTTCTGCAACACATGTATGGTCTTTCTGCCACGTGTGTATCGCCATTTGTATGGTGATCAGGTGGCTAATTTGAAGGTGTCCCACCTGCGGTCTTGTCAGCTACAGTATGAGGTTTCTTGGCAGGCTTTCTGGCATTTTCTTTCTCTTCATAGGGTTCCATCTGTGTCGGACAAGGTTGTTTTGTCCTTTATCCCTTGGCTTTTTCTGGATCACCATCTCATGCCGAATATTGTTGCTTCTTATCATGCAGCGTTGGTGGAGTACTGCAGCTTGCGTTCGGGGAGGCTGTCACTTCTGCCCCGTTCCTTGAGCTTTCTCGTGAATTTTTTATCTCGGGTCTGCTCATGCACTGCCTGAGGCATTGGTCTGTGGCCTAGGTGCTCTCCTTTCTCTTTTCTCCTCGGTTTGTGGTGGCCCCCTTCGGTTCATGATTGTTTCTGGCCAGCTTTGTTTTTGTTGGCTTTGGCCTCTGGGGGTCGGGATGGGGAGCTTCATGCTCTTCTCCGGCACTGGGGTTTCTGCTTGTTTAGTCCTGGTGGTTATTTTGTTCGTTTGCAGCAGGCTCTTTCTTTTCTAGTGTAGAATGATACGGCGGGCTTCCAGAGTTCATTGGTTGTTGAATGCTTGGTTGATTCGGCTGGGGGTGCATCACATGCTGTGTCTGGTAGCTGCTTTGCGCTGCTACCTGAGGGCGGCCAGTTCTGTGTCAGTGAATGCACTCTGGGTTGATCCGGTTTCCCTGTTCTAGGGCTCATGTTTCTCAGGTTGTCCACAGTGTTAAGTCTAGCCAGCCTGTGGTCTATCCTCATGCCCATGATGTAAAGAAGTATGTTGCTCTTTCAGGTGTTTTTGGTAATATGGCTTGGGACGATATTCGGGCGTGGGGGTTTTGGGGGTCGAACAGGGGTCCTGGCCGCCAGGTATTTAGTAAACATCCCAGGACCTCTGGGGCCCTTGTGTGGCCTAGGGGCACCTGTCGTGACCGTCTGTATCTTCCTCGATTTGAGACCTGCAGTGCTGCCGTCTTTCTGGCAAGTCCTTGTTTGCCTTCTCTGTGGGTAGTTAGCTTCAGGGAGCCGAAAGGGCTCCCCACAGACAACCAGCGTTGAATTTAATGAAACGCCAGTTCCTGGATGAGCCCCGGAGGCTCCCTGACACCCCTACTCCCTTAGGTCGGCGGCTTTCATCATTCTAGAACTGAATTGGTGGGTTGCCGGCTCTTCCTCCCCTCCGCGGGAGGAAAGGGGGATAGCACTAATGAGTTGGGTGCTAGTTGGATGATGTGTTGCTTGTTTGTTTTCTGCTTGACGTGTTGCTTGAACTACTGGCGGAGTTCTTTTGCTATTTTAAGGATGTTGCATACAATTTTCAACCAGACAGTGGTCTGTTTTGATTCGCCTACCTTTCTGGGTGCCTTTCCTGGTTGATGATAAGTATGATATACTTTAAATGTAAAGTGCTCATAGGCCATTACTCTCTCTGCCTCTCTGAGGGGGGGCCAGGTTCTGGCTCTGGTTCCTTGTAGGCAACAAGAACTCTGTGACTGATGACCCCAATATAAAACTATATCAGTAGGATAGCTTCAGGAAGCTGACAGGGCTCACTCAGAAACTGGCATTATATTACAATCAATGCTGGGTTTTCATTCTATATTTTATAAGTTTGAGGTGTTCTTTATGATAGACCTTTGACTTTAATATGGATAAGTACCAAAATATCCTCTATACTCACAATTGAATGAGCTTAGAAGAATATTATTGTTTAAATTTTCTATCATTTCAGGCCAGAGAAGAATTTCATGCTCAACTAGCTGCTCAGAGGCGATCATTACAACAGCCGTTACAGTCACCTGACCTTCTTGATGACTCTGAACTTACCACTGATGACCGAGATCTTGATGCCGATGTAACAGGTGTGTTTATGGCAGGAAAGTTATCTTACACGTGGGAAACTTGTCTCGTAGTGCAGTTCATTTCATCTAGGCTCAAAATCGGGTAGGCCGGGTTCCTTTCCCAGGCAAGACAGAAATGGCTGTGCACGTTTCCTTTTACATTGTACAGTACCTCTTTTCACCTAGCAGTAAATAAGTACCCAGGAGTTAGGCAGCTGTTGTGGGGTTGCATCCTAGGAAGTGTCAGTAGTTCAACCTTGGTGGGTCCCCAATAGAAGCCTAAAGTGTGTGTATAATTAGCTAAGGGTAGTTACAAGATGAGAGCTACCCTCGTGGTATTCTGTCTTCCCAGCATTCTTTGTTTTATGATGCTTTGAAACCACTGACTGTTTTGGCATCCACCTCCACCTCACTTGAATAGTTCCAACCATCTACCACTGTTTGCATAAGGTAACAACTTACAGAAATATGTTCTCTCCTCCCTTGTCCTTTACTCTCCTTTCCTCTAATGATCTTGTTGGTTTGTTTTTAAGTACCTTTTCACAGGGTTTCTTTTCCAAATCACTTTTGCTTCACTTTGAGTGACCATAGATCTGGTAAGCAGGGAATGAAAAGATAGGATAAGGATGCAGGAAGTCTTGAGTAGGGATTAGGGCATAAGATAGAGGTGGGGAGGTTTAGAATAGTTGCCGAACCATTTTTTATTTGTGGGTGATTATGATACTGTGCAGTGAGTTGATGGGTGGTGTGAGTTTTGACTGGTATGGTACATGATGACATATACTGTGCTCACATATATGATTTTTACTGGCGGAAGCCTCTTGTGGCACCTTAAAGTTACCATGCTGATATAAGTACCATGAGTTGCAGAGTTCTTTTAGGCCTACCTGGGACAACGACCAGAACCTGGCCCCCTTCTTGAGAGGTGCAGGGAACTTATAATATAGGTAGCATGTATAATAAAATTTCAAGCAATTAATTTATGTGTACCACCAGCAGGGAAGGCACCCCATACAACAGCAAGACAAAACAGACCACTGCTTAATTAGAAACGAGACTCCAGCCTCCAAACCACAAGAGCAATGTAAACAAATGATTGAAAATTCACGAAGTTGTGCGAGCTTGTTAGTCCCACCTTCCCCCACTTGCTTGGGTGGCAGAGGGGGCATAGTAATAAGGCCAGCCCTTCTTCCTTTGAAGCTTCTCCCTTGGACTCTTGCTTCTCTGTCCCGGGCAGTGGGCGTTGGTCATTGGCTCTGCCCCAGTGACGCTCTGGCAGCAATTCCCAGGGCTTGGAAGGAGCCGGTTTTAGTACCTTTGGTCCTTTTTAGACTTTCCATGGCCATTTGTTCCTTCCGTGGTGGGTCTTTTGGTTGCAGGGGGGAGATTTTGTTTCCCCCCTCTACATTTTCCCTTTCCTACTGTCCAGCCCCAGTGGTTGGGCTGGACAGTAGAGTGACATTCTCACTTCATGCAGGTCGGCGTTCAATTCCCGACCATCCAAGTGGTTGGGTACCATTCCTTACCCCCCGTCCCATCCTGTCCTAAATCCTTATCCTAATCACTTCCAAGTGATTAGGATAAGTAGTTGTACTTATCATAATCAACTACAATACAATAGTTGTAATGGCTTGGCCCTTTCTTCTGATAGTGCCGTTCCCTTCCCTGTATATTCCTGATTGAATGCGGCTGTCCCTTGGGTTTAGTCTTGTGGACATTTGGCTGTTGGAGTTGGCGCCCCACAAATGTTTACTTTTCGAGTCCCTTCACAGCAGCTCATGTGACTCTCTTTTGTGCCTCCTGCATGTTCTGGGCATGCCTTGTTACTGTTCAGGTTCGATTGGCCCTGGGGCAGCAGATGTTTCCTTGGTGTCCTGCACTTTTTTGTCCTGCCCTTGCTCTTTTGTGACAGGTTTTTGGGTGTGCTTCAGGCATCTCTGAGAGACCTTGTGCTTCTCATTGGTTGCTGTTGCCTATCCTCAAGTGTGGGTTCATGCTACTTACTTCCTTCCCTTGCAGTTAGCATTGCTTGTGGCATTTGGCCTTTGTGTTAGTATGCTTTGGGGTTTCTGTTATGTGTAACTGGGCCTCTTTCAGCGCTTTCTGCTTGGTAATTGGGGGCCCTTGGAGGCGCTCGGCAGGAAACCTCTGGTGGACATCTTGGCCTCTGCCTTGGCTGCAATCCATGCAGTTAGTTCCCATGCCCCTGGTGGTGGTGGCCGTTTCCTTGCCATCCAACTTCCAGGTTATCTGGCTGGTTTTGCCTTTTCTTTGGTTTGGTGTTGGCCCTGGCTCTCCTGTCCACCTCCTTCTACAGTGTTGGTCTGCAATTCAGTTTCATGTCTGCTGCTTCTCCGCCTGTTTGGGGTTTCTGCCCTCAGGATGAATGTCCTCATTACACACACAAATCACAGTAGCATGATGCATCAAATGAACAAATCCACAAGGGCCGCGACGAGGGATCGAACCTACGTCCAAGAGGATGCCAGACACTGCCTTAATCGAGTGAGCTACGACATGGTAAAATAATTGCAACCGTGAAATCATCCTGACCTACCACAGATCCTGCAGTCTCACCGAGACACAAACCATGGTTTTACACAATTCCCCCATGCACCTGAGCTCTGCCAATAGGCTGTTCTTGCATTTCTTTATAATTATTGAATTCCATGAATCTGGACCCGGAGCTGAGTGCATGGACATGTTTACAATTTCTCTTTCAAAATCTAGTACTCTCGTGTTGATATCAGTTATATTTACAGGGGTTTGGATATCACGCATGAAGAAATTGTCTGGATCTTCCACTTTCATGTTGTTTATTGGGATGCTAAACATGTCCTCATACTGCATTTTTAGGATTTCACTAATTTCTTTGTCATCCTCTTTATCTTTCGTTAGGTAGCTCCTGGGAGCCGAAGGGGCTGTCCACAGAACCCAAGTGTTGAATGTAATAAAACGCCATTTTCTGGGTGAGACCCGGAGGCTCCCCGGCATCCCTCCCTCCGGTTGGCATTTTTTCCCCCCATTTTTTATATTCAGCCTCTGAACTGAGGTTGGGTAGCCAGCACAGGCGGTCTGGGACCCACACTTACCCCCTCTCAGGGAGGAGGGAGTTGCACAGACAGCGGTGCAGCAGCTGTGGTGTGCAGACAAGCCACACTGTGTAGCGGCTTGTTTGCTTGTTTTCGATTGGTGAGTTTTGCTTGCTAGTTTGGCTTTCGGTCTGCAATTTTTAACCAGCTGTAGTTTGTTTTGGAATTCCTACCTTTCTGGGTGCCTGACCTGGGAGATGGCAGACATAGACTGCTTCTAATTACATGGGGGTGTCTATAGGCCATTGCTCCTTGTGCCTCTCTGAGGGGGCCAGATTCCTGCGCTGGTCCCCGATAGGCCTACACCTCCATTGATTGACTGTTGCCACAATCTAATATATTCACATCAGCCCAGTATAGCTCCAGGGAGCCTCCGGGTCTCACCCAGAAAATGGCATTTCATTACATTCATTGCTGGTTTTTTTCTGAATATCTTTAGTTTAAATAAATATTAAATATTGAGTATGTACTGATGTAAACAAGAATTTACTTATTTTTATTTCCTTTGTTTTTTATTTCTACAGGCATGGTGAATATGAGCACTAGAGCACGTCTTGTTGCTCCTGGCTTAGTTGTACCAGGTACAGTCTCCATTACAGCAGCTGAACTTTACTTTGAAGTAGATGAAGAAGACCCAGAATTTAGGAAAGCAGATCCTGAGGTAAGTACACTTTTTTGTTTTCTGTGCACTTTTTTCCTCAGTACCTTTGAAAAACCCAGCATTGAATGTAATGAAATGCCTCTCTCAGGGAGGAGGGGGAGGGAGGCCCTCCATGATGCTCTATTGCTAGTAAGAGAGAGAGCCACCAGGCGGACTCTCTAAAAGTTTGCCTGGAAATATACGGAACGTTTGTATATTGTTGAAACACAAATGTTGCCAAGTTCCAGGGAGGGTCTTTCTGTTAATTGATGGGTATATTGTTGCTGTTAGTTTAAATTATTTAACTGAAGGAAGTAGTGGTCTTCCATTCGTATATTGGGAAAATTCTGATGTAATTCCATGGGCAAGATGCTACATAAACAATAAAATAATTATCCTGTATATTACAAATGTAAGGAGGTTTCAGTACAGGGGTACCTCGGTTTAAGAATTGAATCCGTTCCTGGAGACGGTTCGTAACCCGAAAATTCATAAACTGAAGCGAATTTCCCCATAAGAAATAATGGGAAATGAATTAATCCACTCCTGACTCCCCAAAAACTTCACTTCAAACTAAATTTTATTTCTAATTCACCCATATCTTAACTACAAAAGTATGTTCAAGTTATTACTTACCTTTGCTGATGTCTCCTGTTGGCGTATGGAAGATGGTGAGGAGGTGGGAGGAGGAGAGGTGTTACTGTTTGGAAGTCCCTTTCCATTATAACATCAGGCAGTGAGGACTTCACTGGTGTGAACTCTCTGGCACGTTTTGCCTGCATACCACTAGGACCTGCTTTTGGCTCACTGCTTGCATGTCTTACTAAGAAGCTGTCTAAAGGTTGTCCATGGTACACAGCATGACTTCGCTCTCGTTGCACCAGGTACAGATAGATTTTTGCTTCCTGTATCTTTGTTCTGTGTGCTTGCAAATAACTCACTCACGTACACCCTTGGCTTTAGTACCTGTAGGTGGTATGTAGCCAAGCTTGTAAAGCATAAGGTAGTCTTGAAAAGATTATAGGAAAAGATAAATTTGTAAGGTAGTCTTGAAAAGATCACTTTGTAAGGGCCCACACAGAAAGAGATTCAGCCACCCTCAAGAGCGTTCGTCAGTCGGGAAGAAATTCTGGCATTCTGGAAGAGATTCAGCCAGCCTCAAAGAGTGTCAGTCAGGCAAGAGGAGATGCAGCTATTCTTGAAAATATCTATGGAAAACACCACCGTGGAAGCCGCTAACACTGTTCATCTGTGCTACTTGTATCAGATGTATCATCACTGAACGCAGAAAATTATTCATCTATGTATCATCTATATAAATTGGAGGTAGCATAAGTGGGCAAGGGTGGCACTCAGAGCTATAACTGGATACACTCGATGTATCGTCCTCATAGGTGCTGTATCACTTGCATCCGACCTTTGTGTTTTGGTCCTTATTGCACCTAGCTTCACCAATATTATGACCCTTATGTTCTTCAAACAATAAGGTTTGAATTTCACCAACAGAGCGCGATCTTTCAACAACGCGACGGACAGGTGTTTGGGAGCCAGTGGCGCGTGCGCCACCCATGGTTGCTCACTTAGTACTTAGCCAGCTAGCAGCCCTAGGGCATTCTGGGAATTTTTTCCAAGGTGGCTGCCTCTCACTGGACGTTCAAAGAGTTCATTTCGTACACAACCACCGCGCACACATTTAGAATGGGTACGAAAAAATCAAAGATAGTTTTCTCGGTTGGCGCAGTTTCCCACTGACCGAGAATACTCGGTTGGCACAGTTCAGTGGTTAACCCTTTTCAAATTCAAATTCAAATGTTTATTTAGGTAAAGTACATACATACAAGGGGTGATACAAATATTGATGAATTTATAGATAGAGCTAGTACATACAATGCCTAAAGCCACTATTACGCAAAGCGTTTCGGGCAGGAAAAACACTAAAGACTAAAACGTAATACTAATTGAGATTAAAGTATAAAATGTGTTGAGAAAATATAAAAATAAGAAAAGGGGGAACATGGCAGAAAAACAGCAAAAATACAATTTGGTCGACAAACAGCATTGTTTAAAAAACAATGCTTTAACTGCGCAACGCGCCTGCAGGCCCAGGCTTCAGGTGCGCAACGCGCCTCCGGGTGTTTTTATTTTTCACGTTCCATTCAAAACTCCCGCGGCTACATGGGGTTCACATCAGCTTCCTCAGGGCTCTTGTAAACAGACGCCATCTTTAAAAAAAATCATGGTCCACATTGCCGGGTATGAGAGCCTCAGTAGTGAGTGAGCAACCAAGGCTGGCGCTCACAGCATGAGCACACAGCTCTGCTGTTCAGCGTGTGACCACAGCATCACCTAATAATGTCAAAGTATTAATATAACCTGTATTATTTAGCCATAATAGTATTATAGAAGAGCCTGAGTGTGATAATGACTGGGTACAATGTTCAAATATCAGTGATTCAATGCTGTTCACGATGTTCACAGTGCTAGCCACAGCACCACAGCATTATTTCGTCCATCCAGGATTCTTCAAATGACTTCTTAGATTCCTTTTCAAAATAAACTTGTGGTCAATTATTCATTTACAGAAATTAGTGACCAGGATTGTGGTTATAATTAGCATTGTACGTAGTATTGTGGAAGGAGGAATATTGGTGAGGGAGGGAGGGAGAGAATTGAGGTAGCCTCACTGTGTGGCAGCCACTCTTGTTTTGCTCACCATACTAGCTTTGTGGTTCGCTATGGGGAACACACATGTACATGGGTAATGTACATGGGTATATACAGTGTGTGTGTGTATATAGTGTAATAACAGCAACAGGAGTATGTTGAGTGGAGCTATTTTGGTGAGGGAGGTGACGTCGTAATCGCAGCGTCGTCTGCTGTCTGCTGTGTGATTTCTCATGCAGTGAATGGTGGCCACTGTACTGTTTGGACACAATACCGGCTTACTTGCATAGTTCTGGTAAATAAAACATGTAGATAAGTATATATAACATGTGTAAATAGTGTAATAAAAACAATAACAGTATGGTGTGAGGAGCAATGTTGGCAAGTAAGATGTTGGAGTGAGGGAGGGCCTGTCTGGGTGTGGCTGCTCACACTCTCGATGTTCTGAATGTGTTGACGGTAAATGTATATAGTGTGTGATAGTGTATAGTGTGTACATATGTTGTAAATATACATAAATGAACATGAAACATTGGTGTGAATAACTGTATGATGAGAGGAGCAATGTTGGCGAATACAATGTTGGAGGAGTGAGGAAGGGCTGTCTGGGTGTGGCTGCTCACACTCGCGGTGTTCTGAATGTGTTGATGGTGAATGTATATAGTGTGTGACAGTGTATAGTCTGTAAATAGATTGTATATATACATAAATTAGCATAATACATGGTAAATATGTGCAAATGTGTACACAAGTGTCATGCACGTAACAGTGTCCTTGGACAGTACGGATGTTTTACTGCCATAATATAGTGTACGTGTTCATTATACATAGGATTAGCATGTAAAAATAAATAAAATGTATTTGGAACTGTGTGCAAAAAATGAACAAAAATATATTCTTGGCAACTCGTGCGCCCTGCCCCGGGCGCTCCACCGGCCCCGGGAGCCGGTGGGGCGAATGTCTTAGAATGAGACTGCTGCTTTCCAGAGGGGTCCTTGGGTTGTAGGTGCTTGCTTGATCAGGCCGGGGGTACATTATGTGTTGTGTCCGGTTGCGGCCCTACGCTGTTATTTGCGCACCACAGCTTCTGTGTCCGGGGACGCGCTTTGGATTGATCCGGTTTCTCTTCTTCCCTGTTCGTGGGTACGTGTGTCTCAGGTTGTCCATAGAGTTATTAAGTCTAGCCTGCCTGAAGTCCATCCCCGTGCCCATGACGTTCGTAAGTTTGCTGCTAATGCTGCCGTCTTTGGTAACATGTCCTGGGCTGACATTTGGGCACGGGTTTTTGGTGGTCAATCAGGGTCCTGGCTGCATGCTACCTCATTAACATTCCTGGACCTAGTTGGGCCTGTGTTACTTTGGGTCTCGACTTTGAGTTAAGATGTAGAGCAACGTATGCCTCCCGGATAAGGCCCCCTTTTTTAGTCTTTGGTGAAGTAGCTCCAGGGAGCCATAGCAGACCCCCCCCTAGAAAACCAGTGTTGAATGTAATGAAACACCATTTTCTGGGTGAGTCCCGGAGCTCCCCAGCAACCCTCCCACCCTCCGGTCGGCGGTTTTTGCGTATTTTGATATCCAGCCTCAGAACTGCAGGGTGGATCACCGGCGCGGGGTTCTGGGGCTTCCCCTTCCCCCTCCCAGGAATGGAGGGGGGGGGGAGCTGTGCAGACATGTGGCGTGGCTCATGTGACATTATACGTGTTTGCTCGTTTTCATTTGGGGAGTTCTGTCCATTCGTTTGTATATTTTCGTTGTTTTTAATCAGAATAGGGTTTGTTTTGGGGTGCTTACCTTTCTGGCTGCCTGTCCTGGTCGATGGCAGATATATAATGCTCTCAAATGACATGTGCATGTCTATAGGCCATTGCTCCTCTTGCCTCTCTGAGGGGGCTAGGTTCTGGCTCGTGGTCCTCAGTAGACCTAGAACTCCACCCACATCGACTGATGCCAAAGTCAGGGATATCCATATCAGCCTGGATAGCTCTGTGGAGCCTCCGGGACTCACCCAGAAAATGGCGTTTCCTTACATTCAACGCTGGTTTTATTGACCGGTGGATTCTGACTCCAAGTTCCTTATCTTCATCAAGCTGCTACAAGGTAATGTTGTTGATTTGGTAGTTGTGATGTGCACTGTTATTCCCCACATGCATGGCCTTACATTTTTCAATATTAAATTGCATTTGCCAGTCTTCAGACCATTTGTGGAGTTCATGTAGATCTCTTTGTAAGGCTTCAATATCATTTTCACTTTTTAGTTTACCATAGACCTTAGTGTCACCTGCAAATTTAAATATGTGGTTTGTAATATTCTCATCTTTGTCATTGATGTATATAACAAAAAGAGTTTGTTAGAATAC